CATTTTCCTTTCATTCTTTGGAGTTTCTATTTAAACATTGACTTTAATCTAAAATAAGAGTTCTTTATTTCAGAGTTTAGCTGTGTACCTTAACATGATACGGCTAAATCCATGTGTTATTGCAATTATGTATAACTTTTGGCAATTTCAGGATTTATGCTAGGAGAAGTTAAGGGTCTTTAATGACTTGTACTCTAAGGAGTTTTTTGCTTACAGTCTCATGATAACATTAAGATTTTAATTTCTTTGAAATGTGAAATAACATCTTATGCATCATAAGTTTTGATTTCTTTGGCATTGTGATGTAATATCTCTTTTTTTTTTTCTGGAAAGTAGGTGATTCTGTTCATCTTACGTTTAAACTGCTTGATTTTTATTTAAGTAATTTCTGAAATTTTCATGTATTTAACTCCTGATGATTTTGCTTTTGTTATAACCACAGTACTCAAATTGGTACCCAACCGATCACATCAATTTCATGGCTTCCAATGTTGCGTTTACTTCTTACTCTTTCCAAGGATGGAACTGTTCAAGTGTGGAAAACGCGTGTTATTATTAATCCTAATAGACCTCCCATGCAAGCAAATTTTTTTGAACCTGCTGGTGAGCTTTTGTTTTTTCCTTTACTTTTATTTACATTGCAACTATTCTGCGTTCGATTCTTAACAGATTTTGCCTCCAAAAAGAGGATAGAAGCTACTCCTACTCCTCTGGAGCATTTTGGTCTTATCTGGCTTTATTTGGCTTTTTTTTTACAAGGCTGAACTGCAGGGAACTTGTCATTTGCTGCCTTTGCTAGTGTGTGTTCGAGTAGATTAGGTTATTTACTACTTGGAACATATTGCATATGATGTTTTCCATGTACTATATGCTGTACAACAACTTGCAATCTCAAAATGAGGAGGTTTTTAGATTCACTTTGAAGTAGATTTTGGAAAGCAAGACCTACCCTGTATCTCCTTTGTATTGGTTTCTTTGCTCAGAAAGCAGCTTCCAATAGGAACCTAACTATGAAAAACTTAAAGAAGAGGGGTAAAGTTACTGACAATGGCTGACCTTTATGTCTTCTGGAGGAAGAATCTCTCAATTATATCCTTTGGTGCATGTAGGCTAGAAAGTTGTGGGATTTGCCCTCATACTCAATGTTTCCAAGCTTGCCTCTGGTTCAGTAGCAATGAGCTGTAGACGTTGCTTGGTTTAAGGGGTTGTAAATATAGGAAGAAAATTTTGAAGTGTTTATCATTGGCCTCTTTTTGCTTTATTTGGAAATAAAGACATAGGAGAAATTTTAGGCCTTGTTCTCCTTTTGAATAATTGGAGATTGTTATTCGCAAACCTTAAATATTTTGGTGAAAGGTTATCTGCTCCATGGTGAAGTGGATTTTGGAAAATTATTCATTTCTATCCTTATGAGTTGTTAAGTGATTGTCCAGTCATGGCACCGTCTTAGTATCTTCTTATTGAAATTCTCTTTTTCTGCTGAAAAGGAAGGAGTAGCTTTTTTTTCCTCATATGGTATGGGGAACTTGCGCCAACTGATACACTTTTTTCTTTTGACAGCAATTGAAGCTATTGACATCCCTCGCATTCTCTCACAACAGGGTGGTGAAACAGTTTATCCCTTGCCACGAATTAGAGCTTTAGAAGTTCACCCCAAACTAAATTTAGCAGCATTGCTCTTTGCAGTTGAGACAGTCACCTAAATCTATTAGACTGAGTTGCTAGCCTACATCTGAAGTCTGACGCGGTTTTCTGTGACAGAATATGTCGGGTGGTGACAACATAAGAAATAGGGCTACATACACTCGGGAGGGGAGGAAACAGCTCTTTGCAGTTCTTCAAAGTGCCAGGGGATCCTCAGGTGAATGTCTAATCTGGTTGTCTGGACAACATATTTGTACTTTTCCATTTTCAGATGACTTTGTAGTTCTATATCCTGGTTTGAATT